GGCTCCCTGCTCAGCAGGGAGTCTGCTTCTCCCTCTGACCCTCTTCCCTCTCGTGCTCTCTATCTCTCATTCTTTCTCTCTCAAATAAATAAAATCTTTAAAAAAAAAATACTTTTTAAAGGTCCTGAAGTTCCCTTAGGACCTTTTAAAGGTACTAAGATGATTTCTAAATGATAAAAAAGCATAGGCTTTCTCCAGTTTCCACCATGAATCCTATCGCTAATGGAGAACTTTTGTTAAGATGTGATTATAGCAAGAATGATCAGAACAGAGGATTCAACAGGTATAGTCCCAAAATATAGAAGAGGAAATTTCCTGTAACAAATCTAACCTCTAGAGCAGTTGGGAAGAAACTTTTAGAATATCTCTATTTTTATCTAAATTAAGAAATGAAACTTTACTAATATTTAATATGTATATTGACAATAGTGCATTTTTTTTGTAATCCAAGTACATGACCAAAAATGTTTAGAGACCACTTCTCTAGAGTACCATCAGTTCTGTAGGAAGCATCTGAGTTCACTGCATGTTTTGACGCTATAATATTTTAAATACAATAATTTGGATTTATACAACATTTTAAGTATAATAATCTTGAAATGTATTTAACATTGAAAATTTTATCTTTATTATACTATGCAATAAGTAAATGTTTATTCTTTAACCACTTTTAGCATGAGTTGTTTATTTAACAAATCCTGGTAATTTGTATATTGTTTCTTTGCATTATCATAGAACTGAGAGTTTAAGTATAAGTCCTCATTTTATAGATGCCCAGATTATGAAGTAATTTGTCTCAAGTCTTTGGATTCATAGTTTCAGTGCTTTTTCCAATGCAGCATCCCACTCATTGGACAAATAGCAGAATCCCATTATCCATCAAATGAATGATAACAACAATGCCATTGCACAAGATGGGAAGGTGAGGTATTTCTCATAGAACTCTAAGAGGAAGAAATTCTTTTTTAACCTTTTACTTTAAAATAATTATAGATTCACATGAAGTTGCAAAAATAGTACAGAGAGGTCCCATGCGCCTGCCCCCACTTTCCCTCACTATGTTTAAGGTAATAATATACTGCAAACACTAAGATAAAGCAAAGACTTGGATTGAATCAGCTGACCAAACTCTGGGAAAACTAACTGGCCAGAAGCTGAAGGTTGAAAAGGACTGTTTTGGGGCAAGGAGTCTGAATGAGGGGAACTGTTCTAGAGAAAAGAAGGAGGAGAAGGGGAGGGGGGAAGAAGACCATTAAACACAACACATTCCTTGGTCAGAAGAGAAGTGATAGCCTCTATACGAGGTAGGTATTTTTTGTGCTTTTTCTTTTCTTTTGGTCTATTATTTCATCATTTATCATTTCTTTTAAAGTATTCCAGATAATGTCATTGCTATCATAACCTCTATCCCTACAGATCACAGCAAGTTTGCAATAAAAAAGAATAACTTTCTGACTCCATCATCTAAGGGCAACCTTGTAGGAATATTAGCCCTCCTTAAAGCCCATAGGGGCTGGGAGGATGGAGTATTCTAGTATAATTCTGTAGACACCATGTAGCATCCTCCTCTTTTGCCACTCCTGAGTGAGGACAGGAGACCCTCCTGGGGTCCTGGCTACTCCCAGTTGTGTGGGAGAGAATAAGTGCCCAGGCCACTCCGCTGGAGAAGGCATAAAGGCAGCACTGCCCAGCTCTCTGTGTTTTAGAGAGATGTCAGTTCTGCTTTGACTTTGCAGACCCTTCCTCTTTACCGTGCTATATGGCATGGTGTATCCCAGCAGGGTGCTAGGATACAAAGCAATGAAGATAAGATACATGTACATGTTACTGCGGCAATAATGAGAGAACAACAAACTACCAGAAGGAGGTCAAGAAAGGCTTCCCAAAAGAAAAAAAACTTTGGCGTTAAGTTTTAAGGATGTGCACAAGTTAGCTAAGAGACCAAACATTAGGGATGGGAGTGCTAGGGAAGGGAAGCATTCCAAGTAGAGAAAGAAAGAGTATGATCTGTTCGAGAATTGTAAGCTGCTCAACAAGGCAGAACAAAGGATATGTGGAGTGGATAGAGTAATAGTAGAAGACTAAAGTAGCAATAATTTCTTGAGTGCTTTCTTGGGTTGCACTCTTTATAGTACATTGTCTTAATTAGTCCCTACCATAAACTGCAACTTAATTCTGGCCCTGTTTTTCAGATGAAATACTAGAGACTTAACTAACTTGCCTAAGGTCACATAACTAGTAAGCACTGTGCTAGGACGCAAATCTATCTCTGATTCCAATCTGGAGCTCTTTCCATTTGACCATGTGACCCCTTTCCACGTGAAGTAGAAAGCAAATTGGCCAAATAATAAAAGGCCTTGGCAATGCAACAGCAAGATATATCACCGGATCTAACAACAGATTTTAAGCAAGAGAATGATATAATGCCCTTTGTGTTGAGGAGGCCCCCTGTTGTGCAGTGGGGAGGATGGTGAACCTGGAGCCGGGGAGATCATGTTAAGACTCTATCCAATCAGCCCAGGTAGGACAGTAAGAGTCCTTGAACTCAATGCAACAGTTGGATGGGCTTAGAGAAAGAAGATTTTGAGAAAATTTTGATTAATTTTGAGAAAACATTAATATACTTCTCCATAATAATAATAAGTCAAAGAAATAGAAACATTTTAATTGATGCTGGGAGCATATTGAATATTGATAAAACTCAATATTCAATATTCATT